GTTGTACTACAGATATTTCTTAAGCACTGATTTTCTTAATTAGTTGCCTATTAAATACTTCTGCCTTTATATAGTTCAAGATTATACAGACTCAGGTAGAGGTCCAATCCAGATAAATCTATTACCTATTTATCTGCAATATTATATCCAAATATCTATCTGATTATATCAAATATTCAAATAATTTATCTGAATTATCTAATATATCTGTAACAGATATCCAAACAGATAAATATATTTAGAAACCTCCTTGCATATTTTTATGCATCCTTGTATAATTGTGCATAATTGTGCATATTTTATGTATAATTATGTAGAATTATACAAGAATGCATAAAATATACAAGAGGTTTTCAAATAATGCTCCTACATAATACTGCATTTTTTGTATAAACAATCTGGATAATCTATTGAATAACTAGACATCTATTTATTAATCTATTTTAACTATTAATCTATAAAAATCAGATATTCAACAAATAAATAGATAAACAGTTAATAAATAAGACCTCTAGACCCAGGTATCCACTTCATGTTCACTTTCTTTAAACTGTCTTCTTCAGACTACCAATCCAGTTGGCACAGTGGGGTTGAACTGTCTAGGCTTTAAGTATCTAATAGACTCCTTTTACTTAGTATATTCTTCTAGAATACATATCCTTTTCCTTCAGTACAACTCTGGTGGCCAGGTTGGTAGATTTCTCCTATCATAGAATCTGGATATTTAGTTTTACTAGATTTTTAGTTTTTAGTCTAGTTTGGTTTTATAGTACTCTCATAATCTTCACAACTTCAAACTCAGGACTTGTCAAGCCAGTTCTAGATCTTCAAGTTCTCTATTAGTATTTAGCTTTAATTCTGGTTTTTCTGTATAATCTGTATAACACAGATACTTCCAGAATCTTCTAGTGTATTGATGGTACTGGTGTTTTCAAATTTACAAACAATACAGCCCAACTTATCAATGAAGATCTGTTACTGAAATACAGGTAGTTTTGTCTAAAATGTTATTAGTAGGATTTGAACTTGGTACCAAGATTAAGCTAGCTTGGGGGTGTAACAACTTTACTACTTCACTAAATCGCCACATCCTTTTTTATTTTTAATTATTACTAATACACTATCTAATATAAATACTACAAGTTTATCTATAATATCTATATAAAAATATAATTTTAATATAAATTTATTTAACAAAAATATAATATAGTCCACTCTTATTAATATCAACTTTGTTAGTATTAAGCTAAGCTATAAGATAAATTTTTACAAATTTTATATTTTAAAATTCTCTTATATATATTAGCTATAATATAATCTCTTGTTAATATTACTATTAACATAAATTTAAACAAATTTAAATAGATTAATATAAACAAGAGTAGACTATAATTTGTCAAATATATATTTACTATAATCTTGAAATAATCTGACTAATTTAGTAGTTATTGTTGCTGCATTATATTTTTTATGTATAGTTAATTGCAAAAACTAGTTGTTATTTTTCTTGAAGTAATAAAATATATTATATAAATATCTATATATTTATTTACAATATTGAATAGCACTAACTACAGTATCCCTACTATAATACCCAATAGAAAAGACCCAATTATATTCGTGGGTTCATAATTTAAAAAATTAAAAAATACCTAGATATAGATATATATATTTTAGATTTAAAGTTCTTATTAAATAATAATAAAACTATATAATATATAGTAGTCACCAAAAATAATACCTAATTTATTAGGTAAAATAAAATTTTTATTTATTTTATTTTTATATTACAATATATTAAATTTTTTTATTTAATATATATATGTATGACTCTTTGCATCTACCACTGTCTTGATTCTTTGTGGTTAGGGTTTGGGGCATAGTCAAAAAATTAGATATGCCTACAGCAGTATGTTTGAGATTGAGGCATGCTCAAAGAGCATGTCTCAAAAGATCTACATTAATTAGCCAATCAAATTGTAAAATTTTAAAAGTAAAAAAAATTGAAAACAAATGTTTAAATCTATTAACCAATATAAGACTATAATATTAATAAAAAATATCAATAAAAGATATTTTATCTATAAGTTTACTCTAGCTTTAATATAAAACTAGCTCTAATTAATTATTTTGTTTTAGATATATTTTTAAATAAAAAACAAATTAGAAAATAGATTAATAATATATATTACAACTTTTATATTATTGCTAATTTTTAAAAAATAATAAGTTAGTTCTAACTGTTAACTTTTAAGTATTAATTTTGTAAATTGTATATGTATCTATATATTTTATTAATATTAATTGTATAATATTTTAAAAATATTGGTAACTTGAAAACTATTTATATAGCCAGTTACTATAATATTGTAGCTTTAAGCCAATAAGCATACAGGTTATACAATATAACTAAGGCATACCTATTAGCTTTGTGGCATACCCCAAAAGGCATGCCTATGCCTCCATGCCCTGAACCCTATTTGTAATACTAAATCCACAACTACTCAAAATATCAACCTATTTAACTTCTCTTACTTATTTTTCAACCCTATTTTAAGCTTATCTAGGTCTCTTAGAAAGTCTTACCACTCTGGATATTGTTTTTTATGATCTTTCAGATGTTTTTTATTGGGCTTAGAGTTGATTTTTAGTATAACTGGGCAATATAGAATTATTATAAAATTATAATATAAATAAATAACTATTTAATCTAATTTAAGAAATTTGAGAATAGTAAAGATATAGTAACTTAGTATAGTAGTTTAGTCATCACTTTCTCCAAGTGGCAGGTCTAAAATTTAAATCTCACTGACAACAATTTTGAAAAATAGACCTGTGTATGGTTGACAGCTTTCTATCAGTTAGATCTAGATTAATCTGTAATCTTGGTCACACTTACTAGTAATAGATACTTCAGCACAATAAATCCAGGGGACCAGAATAACTAAAAACCCATTTAGCAAGTCCTGAGATAGAATGTAGCAATGATCTTTGACAGAACTACAGGAGGGCTAAATTTGAACTAGGGTCTAAGATTGGAGAACTGAGTGACCAGGTCCTAAAATGGCAGAGGACACACCAGTTGAACTGCCAAGTTTGCATCGGAGAAAAAGAGTATACACTCCAAAAGTATAGACCAAAAGAAGGGAATTCTTCAGATATCTAAAGCCTAGACAGACCGATCTTTTCAAGTTGTCAGCTAGAAGTAAGAGAAGGACTAATAAAGAATCCTGGTAAAAAGACAGTTCAAATGTGGGTACTGGGATTGTTGAGAACCTTATAAGGACAAGAGTAAGTAATAGATAACTAATTAGAAAGGTTGTAACTTGAAATACCAATTGGGTTATAGCAGCACCCCAAAGGTTAGCTTGAGATATAAACTCAGTGACGGCAATACAACAGGTACTAGTTAGAAAGAAATTACTAAACATGCAGATAAAAACATGTGTGAAACATGGACTACTCTGTTAGGTTTACCTTGTGAATAGATTAGCCAGAGATGGTTAGTAAGTTCTAAAGTGGGTGCAAAATCTACAGGTGTTGCAAAAGCTACCGTTGAATAGTGAGTTACATCTTGGTTAGGTTGGTATAACTAGCAGTTGTAACTAGAGGATTTAAATGGATATCCTTATAGTTGAGGTGCAGATATAGCAGATAGTATAGAACTTATACATGTGGCTTGATATATCCTTGCTATAACTATAAAATATTATATATCCACTTAATAAAAAGTCCCCATGGCTGTAGAGATTATCTTAACACTAAAAAAAAAAAATTTAAAAATAGTTATTAAGGTTAGAGTAAGCTTATAGTTTGTATTAAAGTTAACTTAGTGTTAGAGTTAGAGTTTTTTTATATTATAATTTTATAATATTTCTATATTGCCCAGCTATAAAGAAAATCCAAGTTTAGATCTAAGATTGGGACAGCCACTTTATATATTTGATATTTTTTACTTCAAGCCAATTCATTATCTTATAAATAGGGGTATTGTCTTGCTGAAAAATTGGATTTGACCCAGTTAACAAATGCATAGCTACATTAAACAGTACAAGATAGTTGTTTAGAATCTTGATATAAATTTTTTTGCTTGGGACCTTTGTATTTATCAAAAAATACTATGGGATCTTTGATATTATCTGCAAACTATAATCACACTATCACTAAAAACCTTCTACTCTTAAAAACTTAGCACCAAACACTTGTGTTTATACTGTTTATCTGCATAATGCTATACTTGAACCTGGTACAATTGTTTGCCCACTTCTACACTTATTTAATCAGAAAAAATAATAAACCACCACTTATAAATGTTTTAGTTCTTATTTTTTTTACACCAATCTATATGTCTACTTATATTTGCTTCTGTTAATAAAGGTTTTATAGCAGTAACATGAGAATGAACTCTAAAGTCAAAGAGGGATCTAGCTGCTATTAACACACTATATTGAAGATTTAAATCCTTTACAATTTTGTGCAAAAGCTTGCATTTTTCCTTCTTTAGAGCAGAGAGATATCCAGACTTTGTATATTTTTAATTTTTTTGGTCCTTTTGTACTTACTCAAGAACCTTCTAACCTTTGTAGGGTCACAGCCAATTCAACCTTCTTAGCACTAATTAAACTAATAAGAGCAAAGATCATTCTTTCTCTTTTTCTGTTATGGCATTATTAAAAGAATATTATTTTTTTTTCTTTAGGCTAGATAATTAGACATCAAAGAAGCAAAAAATAAAAAAATTTGCCCCAAATAACATAAGTATGGGGTAAACACAGCTACTTTATTTGCCTACATGAGATGATTTACAAATTAGATGTTACTTTTGGTAACTACTATACTCCCTATTATAATACCCTCCTCGTAATTAGTACCCAGGTGGGTACTATTTAAGAAATTTAATGGTTTATTGATTAATACCTAGGTACTGTGTCAGTGCTATGTAGTAATATCTAAATTTTTATTAATCATAATTCAAAAAACACAACTTTGTTACTCTCTTTTCAAATTTCAGACTTAATTGTATTGGAAATAGTAAATGCAAACTCACATTCATATGTTTCATTTTTATAAGTTATTTGTCTGCAATAAATAAAAATTCCAATTCATGTGATAGTTGAACAAAATATAAAAACTTTAATAATAGTACATCTTCTCTTACAAGAGAATATACAATTCTCAAAATATAAATTACATGTATTTCATAATTCTTATTAATGTTTCATCAGCTGTTTTATTAGTAGCTTCAAGCCTTAATGCATCTCTATGTTGATTGTAAGAGGCATGTTCTTTAATAGAGCTTTTTTGACCAGAATTTATTGATCCTATCAATTATTTTTAAATATTTAAAATAAAGATACTTCATCATCTAAATATTAAAATTTAATGTTATTTTACCTGTACTACTAAAAATATTTGACTTTTTATGAAGCATTCAATATTTACAAAACATCCGTTGAGAAATTTTATCATATTGAAGCCATTTAAATTCAGAAAGCCATGAATT